GTTGACCAGGATGGTCTCGATCTCTTGACCTCGTGATCCACCCGCCTCGGCCTCCCAAAGTGCTGGGATTACAGGCTTGAGCCACCGCGCCCGGCCAATTTTTGTATTTTTTGTAGAGACGGGTTTGCGCCATGTTGGCCAGGCTGGTCTCGAACTCCTATCCTTAGGTGATCTGCCCTCCTCCACCTCCCAGAGTGCTGCGGTTACAGGTATGAGCCACCGTGCCTGGCTCATTTTATTATTATTATTATTAATTATTATTTTTTTTTTTGCTCTGCCCCCTTTCCTCTTCCGGCTCATTTTCCCAAATCTGAAATGCATCTGGGCAACAGTTGCAGGGCAGGGTTCTTTCTTAATTAAATGACTCCTTGAGTCCGATTTGACTGTACCTTTAGTAGCTCTGCGACCTTGGGCAAATGCTTTAACTTCGCCGAATCTCAGTTTTCTCGGGTGTAAAGGAGCCCACCTAAAACCCAGGGTGTGGGTGGGTTAGGTGAAGGATTTGATTTAAAGGGCAGCGAATAAATAAAAGCTTGAAAGGTTGAAAGAAAGAAAACAGCGGTGAGGTCAGGACCTAGTAAGCGCTCAATAAGTAATTAAAAGGCAGTGTTGGCCGGGCGCGGTGGCTCACACCTGTAATCCCAGCACTTTGGGAGGCCGAGGCGGGCAGATCACCAGGTCAGGAGTTTGAGACCACTAAGGCCAACATGGTGCAAACCCACCTCTACTAAAATACAAAATATTAGCCGGGCGTGGCGGCAGTCGACTGTAATCTCAGCTACTCGGGAAGCTGACGCAGGAAAATCGCTTGAACCTGGGAGGCGGAGGTTGCAATAAATAGCGCAAGGCTGTGTCTCAAAATAAATAAATAAAAATAACGCTGTGTCCAGAGGCGTCCACGTGCACTGGCGACTGCCGGTCAGCAGGGGCCGCTGCTGCTGTCTCTGGGTCCTCCTGGCGCCGCAGCAGGCGCACGCGCAGCGCAGCCTCCCTGCAGAGGTGAATTTTATTCTTGGTCCCCACCCTTTAAACCCAGCTCATATTCATTACTGTACTTATTACAGCTGACCTGGTTGTGGCTGCTTGTGGTACTCAGGATTCTGCTATTCGTGAATATGGGGATAGCTCCTTACCTGCCAACAACTGGCTCCCCCCTGCAGCTGTGGGGTTGAAAATTTCCGTTTTTCCCTTACGCTGTCTCCTTAGTTTTTTAAATTATATGATATTCGAATTTTTCAATAAGCAATCCATGCACGCGAGAACAAATTCAACCTCTTTTTTTAAGTTCCGGGATCCACAGCCCCCCTCCTTTTTTTTGAAACTGGATTGCAGGCACCTGCCATGACGTCTGGCTAATTTTTGTAATTTTAGTAGAGACGGGGTTTCACCATGTTGGCCAGGCTGGTCTCGAGCACTTGACCTTGTGATCCTCCCACTGCCTGTCAAAGCGCTGGGGTTACAGGCATGAGTCACCACGCTCGGCCTCTTTTTTAATTTTTAATTTTTATTTTTTTGAGACAGAGTCTTGGCTCTGTCTCCCAGGCTGGAGTGCAGTGGCCTGATCTTGACTTACTGCAACCTGTGCCTCCCCAGGTTCAAGCGATTCTCCTGCCTCAACCTCCTGACTAGCTGGGATTACAGGCACTCACCACCACGTCCGGCTAATTTTTGTATTTTAGTAGAGACATTCGCTGTGTTGGCCTGGCTGGCCTTGAACTGCTGACCTCGTGATCCGCTCGCCTCGATCTCCCAAAGTGCTGAGATTACAGGCGTGATCCACCACACCCAGCCTAACACCTCTTTTAATGAGAACCTTTGCATTACATCTCTGAAATGTCCCCACTTTGCAAGGAAAAAACGACTGTGAAGCGCCTAACAGGGAACACAACACGTAGTAAGTGCTAAGTGCATTTAAAGATTTTTTTTTTTTTTTTTTTTTGAGATGGAGTTTCACTCATGTTACCCAGGCTGGAGTGCCATGGCGTGATCTTGGCTCACCGCAACCTCCGCCTCCTGGGTTCAGGCAATTCTCCTGCCTCAGCCTCCTGAGTAGCTGGGATTACAGGCACGCACCACCNCGCCTCCTGGGTTCAGGCAATTCTCCTGCCTCAGCCTCCTGAGTAGCTGGGATTACAGGCACGCACCACCATGCCCAGCTAATTTTTTGTATTTTTAGTTGAGACGGGGTTTCACCATGTTGACCAGGATGGTCTCGATCTCTTGACCTCGTGATCCACCCGCCTCGGCCTCCCAAAGTGCTGGGATTACAGGCTTGAGCCACCGCGCCCGGCGCATTTAAAGATTTTAAAGAATTTTATTAAAAAAGCGAAAACAGATTAAAAACTCATCCCCAAGGCTGGGCATGGTATCTCACGCCTGTAAATCCCAGCACTTTGGGAGGCCGTGGGGATTGGATCACAAGGTCAGGAATTCGAGACCAGACGGGACAACCTTGTGAAATGCCATCTCTACTAAAAACACAAAAATTAGCCGGGCGTGGTGGTGTGCACCTGTAATCCCAGCTACTCGGGAAGCTGAGGCAGGAGAATCGCTTGAATCAGGGAGGTGGAGGTTGTGGTGAGCTGACATCCCGCCAGTGCACTCCAGCCTGGCAACAGAGCCACACTCTGTCTCAAAGAAAAGAAAAGAAAAAAACAAAAAAGAAAAACTCATCCCCCAAATCGCTCATGCGCTTGACTTGTAACTTAAGACAGGTCTCGGACACAGGTGTAGGTGGTTAAGAACCCCTAGCGCTCACATCTGCTCCCTGCCACGCCCTCTGCCTTTCAGAGCTTCAAGCTGTTGGGTTTTCCCCTGGGTTAAATGGTGATGGCAAGATCAATCATCGATTAAATGAAAGCCAAGGTTGATGGCGCTTTGTAAAGCAAAGTACCCGAAGCATTTGCGAGGGGGAGGCATGTACAGGTTTATTTTAGAGTCCAGCCTGGAATTTGCATTACTTTTTGTGGTCCCACACCTCCCCCTCTCCCAGCCCAGGAAGAACACTGCAGTCGCTTTCCTGTTTCACAAAGTGAGTTTAGGGAAAGATTTACTGCAGGGGGTTCATTTGCACTGTGAGAACACCCTGCAAGAAATACTGAGTGCCTACTATGTGCAAAACGTTGGCTGGACTCTTCACAGTGAATAGAGATACTCAATTGAACGCCAATTCATTCCGAGCCAAAGATATGAAATACATTCAACTGTTTCTTAGGGTCAGATTAGGACACAAATGCTGAACAGTCTTCCTGCGCCGCCCCCTGGAGAGGAAATGAAATAGAAAATGAAATTGCGCCAGTAAAGCGCTTAGCCGGGTGCCTACATGGTAAAACAGCCCTGAAATAAGTAACTGTTTTATTAATAGCAACGTTAGCTAATTAAAATAGCGTTTATTGAGCGTTGGATATTAGGCGCGGTGCTAATTCTTTTAGATGTATTTAGTTTGTTTTACTCTCCCCCAAACAATAAGGTGGTATTGCTCACCCTTGATTTACAGACGAGGAAACTGAGGCACAGATAAATCCTAGCAGCTCTTAGAAGAAACACGCAGTGTGGTCAAGCTAGCAAGGTGTTTTGTTCACTGCTGTATCTACAAAACCCCTAATAATGCCTGGTGCGTAGATGCTCAGTATGCATTTGTGGGATCATTGATTTCGGTGCCTGCTTCTTCCTTTTTTGGGGACAGAGTTTCGCTCTTGCTGCCCAGGCTGAAGTGCAATGGCGCGATCTCGTCTCACTGCAACCTCCGCTGCCTCCTGGATTCTAAGCGATTCTCCTGCCTCAGCCTCCCGAGTAGCTGGGATTACAGGTGCCTGCCACCACGCCAGATATTTTTCCTGTATTTTTAGTAGAGACGGGGGGAGTTTCTCCATGTTGGCCAGGCTGGTCTCGAACTTCTGACCTCAGGTGATCCACCCACCTCGGCCGCCGAAAGTGCTGGGATTATGGGCGTGAGCCACCGCGCCCGGCCCCTTATAAAGCTTTGTGGTTTGAAATAATTACAGGCAAGGAGTTGCAAAAACAGTAGAGTGGTCGCGAGTGTCCTTTTTCCTCGGTTTCTCCCGGGGGTATCCTCTTACATAACAATGGCCAAACTCGGAAAATGACTTGGGTATAATCCACAGACTCTCTTCACCTTGTAATGTGGTTTTAATAGAAGTGCTGGACATTTTGCAAGCTAATATCGTTGCTATGGTTTTATTCTCAGTTAAAACGGCGCTCTTTGCTTTGTGCACCTGAAAACTGCACACCGAGGCGCCCCCGAGACGCCCAGTCTGTATCTAAGAACAGCTGCGCCGGCGCCGAAGGGGTCAACAGGAGACCCTCCCCCGTGCGCCTGCGCGGCGACGCTTCGCCCCGCCTCCGCAGAGCAGTCACATGACCCGCCCAACCGGCGTCCGCCTATAAAAGGCTGAGTGTTGACGTCAGCGTTCTCTTCCGCCGTCGTCGCCGCCATAATCGGCGCGACTCGCTTCATTCAGATCTACCTGGAAGAATCCACCGCCATCCGCCACCATGGTGAGCAACCCTGCCTCACTGGTGCTCTGGAACGGCGGCAGGGCCTTCGCGGGGCGGACGCTGCCTAGTCTGGGACGCTGGGGCTGTCGGTGCCTGGAGGAGACGTGGAGGCGGCGGGACCGGAGGAGCAGGGGCTGGGGAAGCGGCCGCCGCCATGTCTGTGCACCGCGCTGTTCGCCGAGCCCCTTCTCCGCTTCCGGGGACGCCGTAACCTTGCCTGGATCCGGCTGGAGCTGGGGTGGTAGCGGGGATGGGGGTGGGGAATGATGATGTGGCAGGCGTTGTAATGGCGGGCACCGCGGTGGAAGCGGGGAGACGGGGAAGCGCCTTATGTAACCCGCGGGCCGCAAGTTTGAGATCGATTTTCTGCCGAAGGACTAGAGGCGGCAGAGAAATGGCAGAACGAGCAAAGCGACGCCTGAAAGGCTCCCCTCTTTCCTCTCCAAATGTCTTCTCCCGAGGTTAACCTTCGGCCCTAGGCGCTTGTCCTTCCTGTGACTCCCAAATGTGCAGTCCATTTTTGAGACACGAGGTGTAGGATTGTGCTTTAGGGTCGTTCAGGCTCCCTGCTATCTCCTTGGATGGGTGGTCTTGTCTGATCCCCCTTGCTGAGGGATGACCTGGCATTTTATAAGGAAGCTTTTTCTTCGGGGAAGCCTGGGTGGCCTGGTGACAACGTGGAGACTCGAGGGGGCTTTGGGAGCGGGTGCACCCCTTATGTATTTGACCCTAGATACTCCTTAGTATGGTGCTTGGTACCAAGGAAATGTGTTGCCGCGCGGTTTTATTCCCAAGGAGTTTTATTTCTGGGTTGTCAATCCTGAATAACCCCTATTAACGGTGGTTCTTTGGAGATTGCGTGATGATTCTTAAGGGGTGTTAGGCTGGAGATTGGATGGCTGTGGGGCACCCTAGGAATAACCCCCTCCTGGCCTTGGGCCTGGTGTTTCGTTTGGATGGAATGCTCCATGCCAGGCTGTGTTCCTGGAAATGGGGAGCTTGTCTGAGCCTCCCCTGCTTGCCCAGGTGAACTTCACGGTAGACCAGATCCGCGCCATCATGGACAAGAAGGCCAACATCCGCAACATGTCTGTCATCGCCCACGTGGACCACGGCAAGTCCACGCTGACAGACTCACTGGTATGCAAGGCTGGCATCATCGCCTCTGCCCGGGCCGGGGAGACACGCTTCACTGACACCCGGAAGGACGAGCAGGAGCGTTGCATCACCATCAAGTCAACGTGAGCTTCCCATGCCCTCTGGACCCTGGCAGGGAGGTTCTGGCCTGGTAGCTGGAGGCCACTGGGCCAAGGTGGGAGGGGGGAGATTAGGCTATGTCTGTTTCCCTTGGTTTTTAAATTTTTGGCAAGAACGAGTGAGGTCCAGTCTAGCAAGATAGGTTGGAGAGGCACAGGGATGGGGGTACTGGGAGCTGGAGGGGTGTCTGAGTAGGGAGCTTAACTCAGTGGTCTCCCTCCCTGGGGGACTTTTCTCCACTCCTGGAATATCTGGAGAGTTTTACTGTCACACCTGGTAGGGGAGGGTGTTCCTGGCACTAGGGATGCTGGGAAACTCTTGTCTGTCACACTTGGAAGGGGAGGGAGTTCCTGGCACGAGGAATGCTGGGAAACTCCTGTGTTGCACTGGACAGCATTCATTTCGTGACAGTTTCTGGCCCCTGATGTGAGTAGGGTGAGTCTAAATGGTGAGAGGAGAGCTCAGTGACCGCAACCTCTTCACGTTCTGGGCGGTGCCAGTGTGACAGTTTTTGGTGTAGGCTTTTCATTTTTGCCGGAGGTGGGGGAGAAATGAGGAGGGAAGGATTGGAGTCTGGAAGCTTTGGCTGTCTAGCTGGGTCTTTTACTTGTTACTTTGAGTTGGGTGTGAGGAGGCTTGGGGGGACCAAGTCGGCTTGGAGGGATTCTGGACAGGAGAGCCCTGGCTCTGTGGAGCTGGTACCAGGAGTTCCCTGTCTTGGGGAGAGGGGACTGCAGAGGCAAAGGACAGGGGTGGGTTGGCTCTTGTGGGAGCCTGTCCAGGGATGAGTCATGGAGGGAGGAGCAGCCTGGCTTCTGACAGCATCCCAGCCTTACTGGGTCAGGTGTGGCTCCTGTCCCCTGACTGATCCTTCCCTCCCTCAGTGCCATCTCCCTCTTCTACGAGCTCTCAGAGAACGACTTGAACTTCATCAAGCAAAGCAAGGATGGTGCTGGCTTCCTCATCAACCTCATTGACTCCCCTGGGCACGTGGACTTCTCCTCGGAGGTGACTGCTGCCCTCCGAGTTACCGACGGCGCCTTGGTGGTGGTGGACTGCGTGTCAGGTAAGCATCGAGTCCTAAGGCAGGGTCCAGAACCCGGGGCCGTCCTAGCTTGAGGATGACAGTGTGCCCGGTTCCCTGCGTCCCCAGGCGTGTGCGTGCAGACCGAGACGGTGCTGCGGCAGGCCATTGCTGAACGTATCAAACCCGTGCTGATGATGAACAAGATGGATCGCGCCCTCCTGGAGCTGCAGCTGGAGCCCGAGGAGCTCTACCAGACTTTCCAGCGCATCGTGGAGAACGTGAATGTCATCATCTCCACCTATGGCGAGGGCGAGAGTGGCCCCATGGGCAACATCATGGTACGGCCTTCTCTGGCTGGGTGGTGTGCTTCCACAGCAGGGTTCTCAGGAGCTGTTGGGGGACAGAGTTGACTCGAGAGTACCAGAAGTGTGTTATTGGCAGGATTAATGGGGTGACAGAAGGGGGCAGGCATGTTCTTAACCGACTTGACTGGCCCTTGACCTTTGGGCAGTCAGAGGAGATGGGCTCAGGGAACGGAGCCCCTGGGTGGTGGAGGGACTGCAGGCGGGGCTGGCCCTTTGTTCGTGATGACTGACCATTTCTTCACTTTGACCTGATGTCTGCTGAAGAAATCCAGTGTCTGAGACTTGGATCCCTGGTGCTCAGCCTGCAGCTGCAGGCTCTTCCCAGGGGCCCTGCTCATTGCTGCTTCCTGTTTCTCACGCTTTCAGATCGATCCTGTCCTTGGTACTGTGGGCTTCGGGTCTGGCCTCCATGGGTGGGCCTTCACCCTGAAGCAGTTTGCCGAGATGTACGTGGCCAAGTTTGCTGCCAAGGGGGAGGGCCAGCTGGGGCCTGCCGAGCGGGCCAAGAAAGTTGAGGACATGATGAAGAAGCTGTGGGGTGACAGGTGAGCCCCATGGGACATGGTGGGGAGTTCCTGACACCCGAGGGGAGTGGCAATGATGCAGGGTTATGGTGCGGTATTCACGGCACAGCTGGTGCCCACCAGTCACCCTACAGAGCCCTGCCCAAGACGCAGGGGTGCCGAGTGGTGTTCACAGCGCGGCTCAAGCCCATCAGTTGCCCCGCAGAGTCTTGCCCAAGCGTGTCCCCTTGGCAGCCTCCGTCACCCCCAGGCAGCCCTGACTTGTTTTGGCCTGGGCTCTGCCCGCCAGGTACTTTGACCCCGCCACCGGCAAGTTCAGCAAGTCCGCCAGCAGCCCTGATGGGAAGAAGCTGCCTCGCACCTTCTGCCAGCTGATCTTGGACCCCATCTTCAAGGTAGGCGGGAGGGCTGCGCCAGCACCCTGCGCTGTGTGCCAGTGGGACTATTGGCGCTTGGACCTGGGGTCTCCCCCGCTTCCCTGTCAGCTGACTGGGCCCATTTCCTTGTGGGGCAGGCGTGAGACAGGAGGAGGCGCAGCTCCTAACTGAGGTGGAGTCAGGGCTCCTCTCCCGAGGTCTGGACTGCAAGGCCAGAGCCTTGGGACTGCTCCTATTTGGTGGGGGTGGATAACTGGGGGCTTTGGTCACAGGTGACCATTCATTGACTAAGTTAGGGCTTGTGCACTTGTCTAGAAAGCACAATGGGCTTTTCTCTTCTGCTCTACCATGACATCTCCTCCAGGTCCTGATTTGCTCAGCTGGCTGGGCACCTGGTGGGCAGGCCATGCCTGCTCCCACTCCTGCATTGCCCTCGCGCTGGCCCAGGTCTCTTGAGGAAGCAGCACCAGGCATCCTCGTGCTGTTCCCAAACATGCTTACTTGTCTCCGGGTGGTGAATTTAGGTGTTTGACGCCATTATGAATTTCAAGAAGGAGGAGACAGCAAAACTGATAGAGAAGCTGGATATCAAGCTGGATAGTGAGGACAAGGACAAGGAAGGCAAACCCCTGCTGAAGGTGCGTCCCAGGCTTGGCCCTCGGGATGGGGGCAGTGCACACTGCGTTCTCTGGGTGCTCCGACAGCACAGGTCTGGGGGCTGAGGTCCTCAGCTGGGCAGGGGTAGCGGCTGCCCCTTTAGGCTCCGGGTGCTGCTGAAGTCACATTCCAGCAGCCAGCCCCATCTGGGAAAGGTGTGGGTAAGGGTCTTGGCAGGTGTGTGCCTGGCCTCTTCGGCCTTCCAGGAGGGGACATGCTTTGTGGGAGAAGGTGACTCCTGACTTTGGCTTCCATGGCTTGTGCACGGGGCTTTCCTGGGCTCCCCAGGTGTCTCATGCGCCGCCCTCTGCCCTGCAGGCTGTGATGCGCCGCTGGCTGCCCGCCGGAGACGCCTTGTTGCAGATGATCACCATACACCTGCCCTCCCCTGTGACAGCCCAGAAGTACCGCTGTGAGCTCCTGTACGAGGGGCCCCCGGACGACGAGGCTGCCATGGGTATGTGGTCCTGGGGGCCGGTCCTGAGCTGCAACTTGAGGCTGTGGCCAGAAGACTTGCCATTGCCAAGGTTGTGTGGGCTGCAGGGTTCCGAAAGGATGAGCCTAGCTGGAATGAACCTTGTGGGTTTTCTCTGTTCCCTCAGGTATTAAAAGCTGTGACCCCAAAGGCCCGCTTATGATGTATATTTCCAAAATGGTGCCAACTTCCGACAAAGGTCGGTTCTACGCCTTTGGACGGGTCTTCTCGGGGCTAGTCTCCACCGGCCTGAAGGTCAGGATCATGGGGCCGAACTACACCCCCGGGAAGAAGGAGGACCTCTACCTGAAGCCAATCCAGAGGTGAGCAGCTGGGTGACGGCCACTCATGACCTTGAGGTGAGGAGCATGGAGGGAGTGTAGGGCGACACTTGTGCCAGCCATGGCTTTTGTCATCATGGCCTAGTGAGGGAGTCCCTGGAGACGCCACAAGCCCCAGGGCACAGCAGACTTTAGCTCATCTGTGTTCCTGGGTTCCAAGTTGGTGGCAGCAGCCTTGTTCCATACCCAGGGAGAGGGCGGTAACTCCCAAGAGGATGTGTTTTCTGGCAGCCCCCACGCAGCAGTCGGGGCCTTGTGGAAGCCACCTGCCTGCCTTGGGACCAGGCAGGACGGCCCCACCCTCGACCTAGAGGATCCAGCAGAACTATGGCCTTCTGCTTCTTCCCAGAACAATCCTGATGATGGGTCGCTACGTGGAGCCCATTGAGGATGTGCCTTGTGGGAACATTGTGGGCCTGGTGGGTGTGGACCAGTTCCTGGTGAAGACAGGCACCATCACCACCTTCGAGCATGCCCACAATATGCGTGTGATGAAGTTCAGCGTCAGCCCTGTCGTCAGGGTGGCCGTGGAGGCCAAGAATCCGGCCGACCTGCCCAAGCTGGTGGAGGGTCTCAAGAGACTGGCCAAGTCCGACCCCATGGTGCAGGTGGGCGCAGAGTGTACCCGCTGTGGGTAGACGCTCTGAGGGGGGACGGCTTGGGGCCTCATCTGTGGCTGTGTGGATTGCTGTGGTTGTAAGATTGGAAAGGAGGGATTTCCAGCTGTGCGGAAACCCCTGCTTGCATGGAGATCATACCTCGAAGGTGGAAGTCCTATAAATGGGGACTCCTGCCCAGGCGACCACCACCCTCTCCTAGGCTGCTCTGCGCATGTGCACTGTAGCTTGCGGGCTTATGTTTCTTCAGTTCATGGTGTTGAGAAGCAGCACGAAGCATCTGTGGGCTTCGTGCTGCCTCAGGTGGTCCCAGGATCCCGGCATCTTCCTCTGAAATCTTGTTCTGGTAGAGTCTAGCTTCTCCCCAGCTAAGGGGAACCAGGGAGCCTGTTCCCGGCTCCGTCCCCCTACGTCGGTGCTGACGCGTGTCCCTTTCAGTGCATCATTGAGGAGTCGGGAGAGCACATCATCGCGGGTGCCGGCGAGCTGCACCTGGAGATCTGCCTCAAGGACCTGGAAGAGGACCATGCCTGCATCCCCATCAAGGTGAGCTGCCAGCCTCAGTGATCAGCTGTCCCCCATGCTCCTCAGGCTGAGACAGTCTATTTCCACTGTGCTCTGGGCACTCAGTCCTGCCCTCAGCTTTAAAGCTGAGCTGGGCTTTGCACAGGCTCCTAGACTTGATTTTGGCCTTGGTCTTGTCTTAGTTCTTTCTTTAGTTTTCTTCATTAGGGTCTTCTACAGTCACGTGGGATTGTTTGTTTTCTTGTTGTTTTGAGATGGCGTCTTGCTCCTGTCCTGGAGGCCGGAGTGCAGTGGCGCCATCCCTGTTCGCTGCAGTCTCCGTCTCCCGGCTTCAAGGGATTCTCCTGCCTTACTCTCCCAAGTAGCTGAGAGTACAGGTGCCTGCCACCACGCTCAGCTAATTTTTGTGTATTTAATGGAGGCTAGGCTTCTCCATGTTAGCCAGGCTAGTACGCCTGACTTCATGATGCACCTGCCTTGGTCCTCCTGAACTGCTAGGATTACAGGCATGAGCCACTGTGCCCAGCCAGCGGGGCTGATTGTGAGTTCCTCACAGACAGCTCATCCAAATGGTTTCTGTGCACAAACACAAATTCTCAGTGGGGTCGGGCCAGGCCTGCTCTAGACCTTGTTTCTCACTCATGAAAGCTTAGAATTGCACAAGCCCGTGGTTTTCGGTGCCGGAGAGCTCAGTGGAGCCCTGCTCCTTGTCCTGGATGGCGGTGAGATATGCTTGCCGGTGCAACGCTGACTCCTTGATTCTGACTGGCATGGTTCTGCCCGGCTGTATTAAGTCCGCCTCGCTGAGAAAATCTTGTAAGGATGCCTCTGTGTGTTAAGTTGCCGCTTCCTCCAGGCAGGTGTGTGACCTTCCTCTTCTTTCTGCAGAAATCTGACCCTGTCGTCTCGTACCGTGAGACCGTCAGTGAAGAGTCCAACGTGCTCTGCCTTTCCAAGTCCCCCAACAAGCACAACCGGCTGTACATGAAGGCGCGGCCCTTCCCCGACGGCCTGGCAGAGGACATCGACAAAGGCGAGGTGTCTGCCCGCCAGGAGCTCAAGCAGCGGGCGCGCTACCTGGCCGAGAAGTACGAGTGGGATGTGGCCGACGCCCGTAAGATCTGGTGCTTTGGGCCTGTCGGCACCGGCCCCAACATCCTCACTGACATTACCAAGGGTGTGCAGTACCTCAACGAGATCAAGGACAGTGTGGTGGCCGGCTTCCAGTGGGCCACCAAGGAGGTGAGACACAGCTCACCATGGGCAGGCCACACCCACGCTTCCAGCCTCTAGAAGGGACCTCATGGTCCTGCCTTCCGGGACAAGGGACCCTAATGGGGCTGAGGTGGGCAAGGCCAGTCCCCTCAGTGGAGACCTGCGTGGCTTGGCATGGGGAGGGCAACAGCCAGGGTGCACTCGGCCCTTGACGGCAGCTCTCCCCTTACCTAGGGCGCGCTGTGTGAGGAGAACATGCGGGGCGTGCGCTTCGATGTCCACGACGTGACCCTGCATGCTGACGCCATCCACCGTGGGGGTGGTCAGATCATCCCCACAGCGCGGCGCTGCCTCTACGCCAGTGTGCTGACTGCCCAGCCGCGCCTTATGGAGCCCATTTACTTGGTGGAGATCCAGGTGAGGCCCCCCCACCCGCCTGTGACCCTGCCCCTGTCCTGCCCAACAGGCACTGACAGTATCTCTTCCATTCCGGCAGTGCCCAGAGCAGGTGGTTGGTGGCATCTATGGGGTGTTGAACAGGAAGCGGGGCCACGTGTTCGAGGAGTCTCAGGTGGCCGGTACCCCCATGTTTGTCGTCAAGGCATACCTGCCCGTCAATGAGTCCTTTGGTGAGTTCCAGCCTGGTGTGTCTCACATAGCCTGGCAAGCGAGGGAGGTGGGACAGAGGCCCAGTTAAGCTGAGGCAGGAGGTTAAAGGAGGTGGCCTGATGGGTCATGTGACCCCCAAATCACTAAATTCACCAGGGAGGCTCTCATCTTCAGGATGAGAAGGACTCGGGGCCAGTAGAGCAGCTGAGCTGTCGCACAGGGTCCAGAATGAGCAGGGACATGAGTCCTGGGAGCGGCCTTTGAGCAGGTCTTTTGTGAAGTGCTGGGCACCAGGCTGAGTGTCTCGTCTGCAGGGTGACTCTGGCTGAGGAAGTAGCTTTTCCCGCCCTGCTACCTCCTAGTGGCCCAGTGAGCCTCTTGCTTCTCTCTGCAGGGTTCACCGCTGACCTGAGGTCTAACACGGGCGGCCAGGCCTTTCCCCAGTGCGTGTTCGACCACTGGCAGATCCTGCCCGGAGACCCCTTCGACAACACCAGCCGCCCCAGCCAGGTGGTGGCGGAGATCCGAAAGAGCAAGGGCCTGAAGGAAGGCATCCCGGCCCTGGACAACTTCCTGGACAAATTGTAGGCGGCACCTCCTGCAGCGTCTGCCGCCCCGGGGACTCACAGCACCTACAGCACCACGTCCTCACGTTCTCAGACGACACCCGGAGACTGTCCCAACACAGCGACGCTCCCCTGAGAGGTTTCTGGGGCCCGCAGCGTGCCATCGCTCAAGCTCAACACTTGATGCTGTTTCTTTCGATATTTATTTCCAGAGTCCAGAGGCAGCAGACACGCCCTCTTTGCAGGGACTTACTGGGCCTGTGGGGGAGGGGGAGGTGGGATGGGACACCCAACACTTTCCATTTCTTCAGAGGGAAACTCAGATGTCCAAACAAAATTAACAAATGCATTAAGAGGTTTATTTGGGTAATTGGCCTGTTGTGGCTTTTGCCTCAGAAAAGGGAAAGGAACAAGCAGATAGATAATTTCTAGCAGGCAGGAAGTCCTGTGTGGCGTCACCATGAGCACCTCCAGCTTGTACTAGTGCCATTGGAATAATAAATTTGATATGGTGGTGACTCCATGCTGGGTCTTTCTCACACCGTCTTCACAGGGGAGCAGGGCTGCCCTGTAGTGGGCTCACCAGAACCTGGAAGGGGACCTTGGTCCTAGATAGGTGCAGCCTGGGGCTGCCTCTGTCAGAACATTCTAGAATGGTGAGAATGTCCTACCCATGTCGTTCAGAGAAGCAGCTGTCGCTGCATGGGTCTACTGCACACTTGAAGTAGGATCGTTGTGGGAAGGAACTAAATTATAAAATGTCACTTTGTGTTTCCGTGGCCTTGTGGATCGTGGAGCTCCCGGATGGATCTGGCAGGCTTCAGCGATCCTCCAACTTGCTCATGAGCTCACAAATTCTGCCAGCCATCAGATTTTCTGTAGTCCTGACCCCACTCCTGATGAGCTTGCTAGAAACCCATTTGCTTGCTTTTTTTTTTTTTTTTTTTTTTTTTTGTCAGGAGTGGATTTGCTTGTTTTTAATCTTCTTCTTTTGAGACGGAGCCTTGCTCTGTCACCCAGTCTGGAGTGCAATGTGTGCGCAACCTCCACCTCCTGGGTTCAAGCAGTTCTACCTCAGTCAGCCTTCCGAGCAGCTGGGATTACAGGCAGCAGCCACCAAGCCCGGCTCACTTTTGTATTTTTAGTAGAGATGGGGTTTCACCATGTTGGCCAGGCTGGTCTCGAACTTTTAACCTTGTGATCCACCTGCCTCAGACTCCCAAAGTGCATGGCTTACAGGCATCAGCCACCTCACCTAGGTGAGCTCACAAGTTGTGTTCATCAGATTTCACTGGTCGCCCTAGTCCTGACTAGCTTCTGGAAACCCATCAGGTTTTTTTGTTTTTGTTTTTTGAGACAGTCTTAAAGTATTGTCTAGGCTAGCGTGCTGTGGTGCAATCTCAGTTCACTGCAACCTCCCCTTCCCTGTTTGAAGCGATTCTTCTGTCTCAGCCTCCTGAGTAGCTGGCATCACAGGCGCCCGCCACCAC